TTTAAACATATCGCAAATAATTTTAAATGACCTCTTTTTCGAATTCTATAACAGTTCCGCGCGCTGGAGATAAAAATGTCACCCCCCCCTGTTAAAGTGTTGCCATGGCGCTTTGAATCTTGAGTGTGTTAATAAAATCGTTAAAGTTAAACAAATAGGAACCCATAATAAAACCAATTCAATTGGCTTCCTGATGCCAAATTTGGCATCGGAAATCAAAAATTCAAAATTGGATGTTTAGGTTACCATGTTTTTTCACAGTGCGAGAAACTACAGACATTCAGTAGATTTTCTTATTTAATTCTTTAAATATATATTGACTTATATTGGTGGCTACAATTTAAAAGTGATTCGTCATTTTAAGTGAACAACGTAACATGCCAAAACGAAACCAATAACCCTTCTTGGCTAATACCCTTTGGGCTAAAAAAACTGTATCTCTTAGACTGTTTCTCTTAGAAAGGGGGACTAAGCAGTCTGTTTAATTTTACTAGTATTCTAATCACACTTTATTTAAAACTACCAGCTACGGTGCCAGCCTTCGTCTGGCTTTTAAATGTGCCGGGAAAATGCCTAAAGGGAACATCAAACGTTAAATTTAATCACTGCGCAGAATTTTACTCTGCAGAACAACTTCATCAAAAAAAAAAAAAAAAAAAAACCCGAAAGCTTTCAGATTTTAAATTTCGTCCAAAGGGGCGTTTTTTTAACGTTTTGTGATTTACCTTTATTTATTAAATATCATGTTCGTTGCCATAATCATTTCAGCAGGCAATGTCTCAAAATAATTTTAAAATGAGTGCGTTTTTAGAATTTCCAATACACAGTTCCGCGGGCTGGAAATAAAGAGTTTTTTTTTTTTTTCCTTTCCGCAATGTGTTGCCATTGGTCGCTTTTAAATCGCTAAGTTAGTTAATCAAAAATTCGTTAAAAGTTTACAAAATATGAAATGGATAATAAAACAAATTTCAAATTTTGGCTTTCAGGTGCCCATATTCGCAGGAGGATTACGTCATTCAAAATTGGGTGGCTCTAGGTATTGTGGTTTTACCACATTGCGAGAAATATACATACATTTACGCAGATTCATTCTTCATTATTTAATTTCTTCAAATATAATGCACGACTCTAACATTCGGTGGCAACAATTTGAAAAGTGATACCCCGTTTATAGTGATTCGACGCAAATCGCAGAACAAAAAACAATAGTCCTTCAGGACAAAGCCCCTGTCGCTTAAAAAAAAAAACTACAATTAAAAAATACATATACATATAACAATTACAGAATAGCATATCCCTATACAAATATTATTATCCTAATAAATACTTAACTTAACTCCGTTGCTTCTCTCACAAACGTCCGTATCCAAGCGAAAAATTTAATTAAAAATTATCGCCCTAATTTTTCCCAAGTGGAACAGTGTGATTGTCCACAGTCACAGTCCGTATACAACTGATGAAACTGGCCTAAACTACATTTCTAAAAGAATAAAACTATTCAATATATGCGATAAAATCGAAAAGGTAAAATAAAAAAAAAGGAAATCTGATTCGAATTTTGAAAAAATCTCTTCGAAGTGCACTGGCTCTTGTCTAGATGAAACTATGTACCAAATTTCGTAGCCCTGGGTCTATTAGCGCAGTACGAACAAAAGGCACACAGACTCTTTCTTTTATTATATGTAGAGATTTCATATTTTGTAAAACTTTAAGGAATTTTTGATTAATAAATTCTAGGATTCCAAAGCGAGCATTGCCAACGTTGTACCGAAAAAAACATTTTTATTTCCAGCGCGCGAGACTGTGTATACGGGTGATATCCTCAGATTGAAGGCATTCGCTTACGATGTTTGCACGGTGAGGACGGGCGTTGTCATCTATAAACACAATGTGCGCCCATGCGCCCCGAAACAAACGTACGTGTTGTTCCAGATGACGTCCGAAGATTTGGATTGTTAAACGTGCGCGCCTCTAACTAACACGCAACCAAGAGGTGACTGTCAAGCTTGTATAAACCAAGAGTCTTATAAAGGGTTTAAGTCCCTTTTTATTCAACGTACTAATTTACAATGCGTTCTCTTGACGCTTTTCAAACGGTGCCAACTCGGCAGTCAAATAAAATAAGAACCTGAAAGAAAGTAAAGACAATATTCTAACTACGAGGCTCTCTAAAATAACTAACTCACCGCGGTTTACAAAAGCCGCAGCTAATCAGCAGACTTGAAGCTCATGGAAACAATTGCAACTACTTCGCCAAGCACATAGGCCGCACGCGGGGTCTTTAATTCTACTAATATCCCTCCGCGCCGCGAAGTAAGAATAACTCGCTCACCGAACTTTTCCTTCTATTAAATCATACTACTTCCGCTGATAATTTGAATGCTTGCGCGTCTACTCAAATTTACATATTCTGGCATTGGCAGTTCCAGGGAAGTAAGGCTACAGAAGATAGTTTAACTTAAAATAAATTTAGTAAAAAAAAATAAACCCTACATTGTCATGGTTCAATTTGAACATGCAGGTCAGTCTGAAAAAACAGATAATTCCACCCCAAACGAGCACTCCTGCACCACCGTACGTGTCGTTCAATGATGTTTTCTTGGTGGTACGGGTACCTGGAGCTCTCCATATGAAAGTCCGGCGAGAATCAACTGCAAGCTAAACCTGGACCCCTCGGAAAACATCACACAAGCCGCTGGTGCGGTATCATATGCATGCTCTCTACTCCATGCTCTAACCGCAGGCGACAATGGTTGCAGTAAGTGGAACGCATCTGACGGTCTACGAGAATATAGACCGTCTGCCCTAAGTCTGTACACGGTCTGCTTGAAATGTCCGGTACCAGTGGCTGAAGAGAGTGACGAGATAGGTTGAGGCAGTAACTGCCAAATCCACGGTCCTCATTCGGCGTGTAACTCTGGGGAGACTTGTCCTGTAACGTCTACTCCATTACATCATCTTGGATCGTTTCCAAAGCCTGGAAATGACACCTTGGGAATTCCAAGTTCGTCTGATACTCCCAGTTGGGCGCCGACATCCACACGGCCGATAATTCTACCACTTAAAAAATCAAAAAATGCATCCTTTATGTCATTAACTATTCGGTATTGCACTGAATGCTTAAAGCGCTGCGAACAATTTTACTTCTTTGCCTGTATTCCTTATAGATCACTCTTACACTCTCGTCATTGGACGTACCTCGTTGTCTCTGGTTTAATTCCTGAATTTTCATATGATTCTGAAGATGTGTGTAGTGATTTATAGGTGATATTTTATTTTAGAGTTCGATTTCCGCGTGACTCCGAATTATCCTTAATTTATGGACATGAGTGTATATTACATATAGCATAAGATGTAGATAAACAAAAGATTTAAATACATTTAGATATAAACATAATAGTGAAATTTAAATATAATCGGATTTCCATTCTTAAAAAGATTTAAATATAAACGTGTCATCTTTCCTCTTCTTCACATACTGAAAATATTTCCTTTTTTCACACTCTTAGAAATCTAGCTGTTTGGTTCTTCACAAAATATGCAAACAGAAAACTCATCGACGGAACCATTTTTAAAAGATAAAACACAAATCGAACCCGATAACAGCTCAAAAAATCTTTTACACATCAAATACTTTCCGAAATATCCCGCAAAATACTCCTTGAAGAAATGTTGCATTTATTTCGCCGACGGCTCTTATATTAATGCAATCTCAAAGGGATAAAGTTTGTGTTGTTTGGGAGGTAGAATTGGAAGTTTGGGGAAGTTTTATAAAGGAATCCCAATGTTACTTTTCTTTCTGGTATAGGAAATATTTTTTTATAGTTTTTCTTCTTTGATTTCTTGTTGCTTTTTTCCTTTCCTTTTTTGATTTTTTGTGCGATAGTATTGAAACGGATAAGTAGATTTTATATCGGAATAAATATCAACCATTTTTGGAAATGTTCTGTATCTTTATTTCTACGATGGGAAAAAGGGTCCTTCAACACAAGCACTAAAAGCATATTTTTTTATTTGTCTCTGAAAGCGAATAATTATTATCCCATAGGCGTAATTTGCATAGAAGAGCTATTAATTTGCTATGGCATTTTGCGTCGTCTACTATAAACCAGCGTTTCGCTTTTCAAATTGTTGCCTGCTTATAGTAAGTCGATCTATACGTGTAGGACATAGTATGTATCCTCACCATTAACTAAGGCTGGGACATATGTGTCCCAGTTTTTAACTTGAAAATTGTTTGTCAACCCCCCTCCCAATGCGAAATTTATCTTATGATGTATTTTGTTCACTTGGATAGAAAACGGGATATATATATATATATGTAATAATAAAATTCTATAGTCAAGAATACACTTAAAATTCTAACTGTATGTCTTTTCATTTTTAATGGCGACGTTCTCTTATTTGAAAGTACGTGGAATTAAATTCACAGCCCCGTAGTCAAGTTATTTTTCCCGCCTTTTCTACACGTACAGTTATAGAATGTTCTGGAAATATTTAAAGGGAACTGGAATGGCTGACGAGGCTGACGTCATTTCTTGGAAGCTCCGCCTTCCCGGAGGCTATAAAAGGACTCGCAAAGGAATATCGGGGGTCTTTTCTTTAATGTAACGATGCAGTAAACTTCATATAAAAAGTTATTAGTAGTTTCTTTTTTATTTTTACTCCGGAAACATGATTTTTGTAACTGCTACTTTCTTCTGAATAATAAATGGATCCTGTTTTTTAAACTTATCGTCTGATAATTTAAGCTACGACTACATCTATGATTCTTCAGCAATCTATTTATTCCTGAAAAAAGCTAGTACATCACATATATATATTTTTTAATTCGTAGACAAAGGATTAATAAAAGATGTTTCTTTGTCGTAGAATCTTGGAATTCATGTAATTGGCTAATTTCTAGCGGTGTCTCGTTTTTATATGTAGAGAAAGAGACAAATAAGTAAGTAATTAGAATATCTAAAACTGAATCGGAAGAAGTACTTCGTAATATTTACCTGCCAAGGCCAGCTCCCTTTCTTAGCTCTCTTTCCACCCATTATTCTAGAATCTGGAGCGACTTTCGTCACGCCGCAAACGATGTTATCTAAAGGATGGCTCTCGTCCTTTTCTTCCAAATCTGTTGCAAAATATTTAATTTAAAACCAGTATAATGGATGTTAAAGTAAGTAAACAAAAACAATTTGAAAACAAATGACACTGCGCCAGAAAAATGGAACAGTTCTATATCTCCCGTTCTACTAGGGCGATTGACGAAATTCAACTTGCGTTTTTCATGTCTCAAAAGCGCGACTCAGGATATGTATTAGATTTATATATAGCCTTGTTCTAATATAGGTATTTTGACACAAAATCGGACTTTTTCTGAAATAACATACCATTTTTTTTTCCATATTTCCATTCTTAGATTCAAATTGTGCCTAAATAGATATTAAATTTTGTAATTTTTGGTCAGAAATTTATGGAAAATTGAAAAATTTATCTTGGCGAATTTTTTTTAAAGTTTGGGCCAAGAATAATTCACTTCGCGAGCTCCTTAATTTATAACAACCTATTTTTCTTTGCCTTTCCTTCCTCCAAACTACCACGTTTTGTAAAAATCGCACGAGTAGTTTTTAAACAGTTAGCTCTCAAAATTTTAGCTCCTCTGTGTGAATTGAGTTTGGTATATATATATTAATCTCTTTTTTTTTTATTAAACTTATTTCTTTCGTATTAAACTTATTTGATCCCAGCTCAGTGGTGAGTTTCGAGCACGTTTTTTGTGCGGTGTTCCACGAGAAACTGTACGGCCTATGTTTCTTTGAACAAGAAACTTTGATAGGTGACACACTTCTAGACAAGTTGGAAACCCATTTGTTATCCTAACTGAACACCAATTATGATGATTGCATTTAGCAAAATGGATGGTACTCCGCCCCATTTTTACAGGAATGTACAAGTGCTTCTTAATAGTGTTCTTCACCAACGCCGGAGTGGGCGCGCTGCAGCAGCAGACAGCAAACTTCTTCCCTGGCCATCCCGTTCGCCGGATTTAACACCATGCTATTTCTTTCTTTGGGTGCTTGTTAAAGAGCGAGTTTATGTAGCCTGCGCAAAAAAAAAAAAAAAAAAAAAAAAAAAAGGGGGGGGGGAAACAGTTCTGTATCTTCCGTTTTACTGGGCCGATTGTCAAAATTCAAATTTCCTTTTTTTATACTTCGAAAGCGTGACTTATGATTGGTATCAGACTTATATATAGCATTGTGCTAATATAGGTATTTTGAAACAAAATCGAACATTTTCTTAAGGGGGCTCATATACCTTAAACCCCTTATGAGCTTCAAATGATGTAACTGTTGCAAGAATTGAGATATTTTATTTATTTTAAAAGTAATTACCTCCAACCTTTTACAGCTGACTACATAATATAGCTACTTTGGAAATGAGTAACCAGAAGGTTTGTGTTGCCACAAATATTTTTTGTAATTTAATCCGCTTTGTGAAAAAATATTTCGTCATTTTTCCACCTTGCGCGCATATTTTAAAAATGGCTAATGGTACATACTTGAAATTGGATGGAATTCTTTATATGGTCACTATTTTCTAACTGAACCACAAATCTGATGAATATTTTAATATTAAAAAATTTTATGCACGAAAAAATTACAGATTTTTTTAATAAAATACATTTTATAAACTCAACTCCAAATAAAAAATTAACATGAAATTCTCAGTTTTTTTTTTTTTTTTACAGTAGTTTTCAAATGTTATAAAAGCTATATATAAACTATGGAATTAAAGAATGCGACAGATAATTTTAAACTGTGCGCGCAAGGTGGAAAAATGACGAAAATTTTTGTCACAAAGCGGATTAAATTACAAAAATATTTGTGGCAACACAAACTTTCTGATTACGATTTCAGAAAGCAGCTATATTATGTAGTCAGCTGTAAAAAGTTGGAAGTAATTGCTTTTAAAATAAATAAGTTATCCCAATTCTTGCAACAGTCACATATTCGAAGATCATAAGGGGTTTAAGGTGTATGAGCCAACTTAAATGACATGCCAATTTTTTCCCATATTTCGATTCTACGGCTCAAAATTACGCCCAAAGCGCCAAGTTTTGTAAAAATCGCGGAACTAATCAAGTAAGTTTAATAAAAAATAGATATTAATAAATATATGTAATAAATTCAGGAGCAGAACATTTTTTTTATTTTAGCAAACATGTTGTGGCGACAATTAACTGGGCACATTAATTGTGCCTATTCCAAGAGATTTTACATTTTAGATAAAGTTGCAATAAGAAAGAAATTGCAGACAGACTGCAGTGCGGCCAGGCCAAAGCACAGAAAGCAAGTGCGGAATATTCAGGATGAAATCTTTAGTCAGATTGAGTTAGTTTTGGGTCTCAAAGCATTTTGATTGGATAGGTAATATTGCTGTAAAATTATTATTGGCTGCTTGAGTTTTAGTTTCATTTACGTCAGCAGAATTACGTAAGAGTCATATGACATAGATTTTTCTCAAAATGACGCAGTGAAAATAGAGGTTACTATTGTTAGAATAGAGAAGGGAAATTAATTTACGCTGCCAATTTAATCTTTTACGTATTCTTTATTTTTCTTACATATATATCAAATTGAAATAACATTGAGAAGCTAAAATTTTGAGAGCTAATTTTTAAAAAACTACTCAAGCGATTTTTTACAAAACTTGGCAGTTTGGCATCGTTTGAGTCGAAGAATCGAAATTTGGAAGAACATTGGCATTTCATTACAGAAAAAGTCCTATTTTGTGTCAGAATACCTATATTAGATCAACACTATATATAAATCTAATACATATCCTAAGTCGTGCTTTCGAGACATGAAAAACGCAAGTTGAATTTCATCGATTGGCCCAGTAGAACGGGAGATATAGAACTGTCACCCCCCCCTTTCTTTGGGCAGTGTACCTCAGCATAACCAATTATTTTTAAAAAAATTCTTCTTAAATTTCTCTTGGTTTAAATATAAACGAAAGTTATGAAATTAATGCCAACAAATTAAGTCGAGCCAACCAATTTCAGTTATAAACGCAAAGTGGCTAATACAAGGTGGTTAAAATTAAAACACCCCTACTCTAATCTCTTTATACATCGAACTACTGAATGTAAAGGCCCCAAAATTGTTGAACATGCTGTTCAAGACATTGGGAAACGGATTAAGTGGAAAAAAAATTAGTTCCAGAAACACCGATAGGTGGCGCTGCACAACAGAACATCTGCTGAAAAGACAACAAAATACACTTTATAACAGATTTTATTCGAACGTACCAAACATTTCATATCACAAAGACCTTATCGATGCAAGGGAAGCAAGCTGCTTAATATGATTTCCTTCTTCAAGATTTAAAATCTGCGGTCTTGTTCTGCTACGGATCGTAATTGCTCCATTAAATGCTTCTCACGTGCAGAGTGGTATGTCTTTCAAATCTGCCAAATTTACTAGACGTCGTCGATAAACAAGATTTTTTTAAGTAACTCCGCAGCCAAAAATCACATGGAGTAAGATCTGGAGAACGAGATGGCCAGAGAGCGAAATTTCCCATACAATGACAGTTTAAGTTTCTTAACTTTTTGGTGTTCTTTTTTTACTTCCTTGTACGAAGTAAAAAGGAAGTATTGCAATCGCGAAAAGTTTCAGGCAGCATATTTCAACGAAAATATCCATTTTGACCGCTATCGAATGCAATTTTACGATGTTTTTACATGATATCTGTACCTAAGGACAGAATAAAAAACTCTTTTCCTCCAAAAAATTTACAAAACTGCTTTAAAATGAATTCTGAAGAGAATTTTTCGTGGCGTCTGTACGATCGTATGTACGTACGTGCGTATCTCGCATAACTCAAAAACGAGTAGCCTCAGGACGTTGAAATTTTGTATATAGGACTGCTATAACATGTAGATGTGCACCTCGTATTTGGGTTGCAATCGGCCTCACCAAACGTATATAAATATATTTATATATATATATCCACTCTGTTACCCGGCTCATTGATCTCAGTTTCTTTACTCTTATATGTTCGTAAATTGTACATTTTTTGCTTTAAAAATGATTGAATTATGTTGTTGTTATCTTCCGGTTAAGGATTTTATGCCTTTAGTAAATCTGTGTGCAGTATTTTTAGGATTATCAGGAATTTTAAAGTTGTTTAATTGCTGCTAAGCCTGTTTTTAATGGCGGCCATTGATGTTTACGTTTGAAACAGGAGACTAGTGGATTCGTTGCCAATCTAGAGAAACTTAACTTCGCAACAACAAAGATAACGCCTTCATTTATTATTGCCAATTAAATCATGCTTAATTCTTTCTGGAATTTTTTCGAGGAAATAAGTGTTTGAGATTTACTTCGTAATTTTTAATATAGATATTTTGAGTTTTTATGCATTTTTGCCTTGTCGCGAAGTGAGAATTGAATTAATTGAATGAGAAATACTCAATCGTCTGTGAAAAACTGTTTTTTTATTTATTTATTTATTTATTATTATTATTATTATTATTATTATTATTGCTTAATTTCTTTTATACATCATTCTAGCTTTATTATAGTATTTGAATAGAACATGTGGCAACGATTAGCTAATTCTATTCTTTAAATGATATAAACTTTGTGCATTATGAGTTATAATATGAACGAAATATATACGTTAACTGTTATATAATTATTGGATTATATAACATTTAACTTAGTTTCCGAATTATTATATAAGTTAACTGTTATATAATTATTAATACTGTTAAGTGAATCTAGCGCCAGAGTGTCGCTATGGTAAACAAATACTAGAGTGAATTTTAAAGAATGCATTTATTCTATTGTGGTTTATGCTCGGTCGGCGAAATAGATTTAATTCAATCCAATAAATTTAAATGAAATGCAAGAAAAAAAAATGAGTATAATTTAATATTCTAATACAAAAAAGTCATGTGGTGTACACATCAGATTTTTTTATATCAGCAATAGAAATTAAAAAGGAATATTCCCATACCTGTTTGTTTTTTTTTAATGATTATTTGTGCCTTTTCAGCAAATTTTCCTTTGCACAGCGCTACCTATCGGTGTTTCTGGAACTTTTTTTTTCACGTAATCCGTT